TTGGGAATTCCGGATCTGACAGACCAGGTTGCACAAATTGAGGAGACTTTAGCACTGGCAGTCTTGCCCATGTCTGCCGATGGAAGTGTGATTGTGAGGAAGGAGCTTTTAGTATTCTTCTCAACGTTCGTCAGACGCCACCAAAACAAATTCTTGGTCGCAGCATTTGAGGAGCTTGAGGAAGAAAAGCGGACCCTATCTCATCGCTGGCAGAGCGAAACCTCTCGGACTAGCCGATCCGAAGCACAGGTCGTAGCACTATCTTCTCATGCGAAACAGCCCCAGCTGTCTCGCAATACAACTTTCGGGACTATCTGGAAGCAGCTGCTGGCTCTCTCAGTTGACCCTCATCCTGACATCGCCCAGGATGCCTCCGTTATCGTTGATTACATCCACCTTGCATTGTTGGAATCTCCAATGGCGCCACTCACTAACAAGCTTCAGAACGAGATTCTGGAAATCACAGGCTTGACAAAATTCCAACATCGCGAGCGAACTGAGGCAAAGAAAGCTGCGCCACCTTCAACGCCTCCCGTGTCTGGAACAGCAGCCTCGAAACAAGAAGGCTATCTTTCCTTAGGTTTTAGGCGAACTGCCAGCGTCGCTGCTTCCCTGAAGAACCTTGCTTTTGGCAATTCAACAGGAGACCCATCCGCGGACAGTTCGAACCCTCCTTCGCCTTCAACAGGCCGTATGACAATTACCCCACGCGGCCGAGCCCCTCCTGAGTGGACCCGACCCCCGGAGGTAAATGACCATGTTGTTCCCGCAACAGGATATAACCAGGCTCCGGTGCCCACATCTCGAGGGTTCGAACCTAAAGGGTTTGATGTTGTGCCAGTTATTCCCCTAAAGAGTAGATTCCTAGACTGGTCCACTGAGGTAATCCCGGATTTTGAATCCATCAAGTCCCACAACTATTATTGTCTATATTTACTCACCATTTACAAGTATTTCCGGGAGCCCCAGATGAAACCCAACGAGCCGGATGAGCCCGGTAGCTCCGACTACAACCAGCGCCTCTGGCGACGCGGCCGCAACGAAAAGATCATCGCTGAGACCCAACCCCTCAAAGGAAAAGCTGGAGCGAGCCGGTGGGATAACTCGGTTGCTTTGCTATCGAATGGTAGCCAGCCCCACAAGATGTGCTTCCATCAATTCGAGGATCACATTGCTGTCGCAGATGACCGAGATACAATTTCGTAAGTACCAACAGGTCACCTGTTCTTCGTATTTCTAACCATTCGTTTCGTATAGAATTTGGGACTGGCAGAGCCACAAACGCCTCAATCAATTCTCAAATGGAAACCCGGCCGGGTCGAAGATCAACGAAGTTCGATACATCAACGAGGATGACCAGGCACTGCTTATGACTGGATCATCTGATGGAGTGATCAAACTTTTCCGCCATTACGAGACTAATAAGGATATCGAAGTGGTCACAGCTTTCAGAGCCCTTCCTGAACTGATTCCAAGCAATCGCAATGCAGGCCTTGTGCTTGATTGGCAGCAAGGTCAGGGTAAAGCTCTCGTTGCAGGTGATGTCAAGGTTATCCGTGTCTGGAATGCTGCTACTGAGGTGTGCACAAACGTAAGTCTTCAATGTCTGATCTCACAAATATATCCCGTTACTCACAAAAGTTCAATAACAGGATATTCCGGCACGATCGGGTTCCTGCATCACATCTTTGACATCTGACCAGGTAGCGGGCAACATATTCGTTGCCGGTTTCGGTGACGGTGCTGTACGAGTCTTTGATCAACGGTTGAAGCCAACCACATCCATGGTCAAGGTTTGGCGTGAACACAAGCAATGGATTACAAATGTCCATATGCAGCGTGGTGGTTTACGAGAATTGATATCAGGTGGCCGTAATGGTGAGGTCCGACTATGGGATCTTCGCATGGATAGCCCGATATCCACCATCTATGCAACCAAAGACACCCTACGGACCTTGAGTGTTCACGAACATGCTCCTGTCTTCAGCATGTACGTTTCCCCCGCCGCGATATGTTCATATCTTGTTTGTTCAAAGCTAACATGACGCAGGGGTACAAATCGCCATGAAGTCAAGACTTTCAATGTGGATGGCACCTATCTTTCTACGTTCGAGCCATACTCGAGCTTCCTTCATCACAACCGATCTTCACCCATTGCCAGCACTGCCTTCCATCCCCACCGGACTGTGCTTGCCTGCGCTGCATTGAACGACCATCATGTAAACCTCGTGTCCTGTTAATTCCAACTCAGCTCCGAATTTCATGATACCTTGGTGTGGTGACCTTTATGGCTTTGTTTCTTTTTCTTGTCCTAATATTACCCTTTCTGTAATATGCATCCGCACACCCAACGAACAAATCTACATGGCGTCTTGGCGATTGACTTGATCAACCATACATTGATGGCTCCGCGTTGTTGGTTTTGTTACTTTGGGCTTGCTTCACTACCCTTTGATATTTGTGACGATTCCTCCGTCTATTCTTCTACTTCATATGAGACAGTGTACCCAGTTCCGGGTCTATGAACTTCTTTTTACCCTTCTTGCCTTCTATCTCTTCTTCGGTATTAAGCACAATATCTTGTTGTAATAGGTGCTAGTCTTGGTTGCCAGGTGGAAGAACGTATAATGTTTCGAATGCTCGTGCTCTGCTCACTTTGGTGCATTAGGTACAGAGCACTAGAAGCTGTGCTGCTTTGACTGATAGCAGGACTTGATTTTTTTTTTATGCTTGTCAATAGATAGGTCCAGAAGATTGCATTAATATTGGTGTGATCTCGCAAATTGTTATGGATATATATACTTGATGCAGCGCGGTGAGACCTCGGCCACGCACTGTAGTTTACCTGGCGTACTCCTCGGCAGCATTAGTGTCATATGCTCGCTGTATGGAATAGGTTGGCCGTTTCGTCGTATAAGAAACTGGATGACTTAAATAGTCTGAAGATTTAGGGGGCATCGCCTATATATATGGAAGACGATATTATGTCTGACTTGTTTTGATAGTTATATATTTTTTCTACTAGTCATTAGCCTACGGCACAACACAAAGTGCACCACACCGGAGGGAAGAGCTGTGGAGAAGCAGTGGATATCACATCCTCTCAAAAGGACCTCTCATTTATTCTGTATCATTTGGTGTATAACTTGATACATAAATTTGACATAGTATACCAGTTATGTTTGGGACGAGGCCAAATGAGGGCAAATGCGGTCATGTGTATGCCTTTACAGTAGTTGCAATGCCTTAGAATGTCCATAAAAATATGGTCGGCAGATATGGCAAAAGAAAAAATTTCTAAAAGATATATATATTTTTTCATTTATGATGGGGACAACGAATCCGATAAACGTTGAGCAAATAGAATATGAGCAGTTATTAACAGGTAATTTTATCCAGGCCCAATGCTGGTGAGAGACCAGGATCTGCAGTAGGCTGACAACGATACACCGCAACAACCTATATGAAGTCGTAAAGCCAAAGCGGAACTTTCACCAGAAAGAACCTTGTTTGCCCATCCTCAGTCAGAGACTCCATGCAATTATCATTTAAATAGTCTAATTCACCGAGAATTTAGCTGTTGGTAGTCCAAAGATGATTTGTATACGCAGTAATTTTCCATGCGTAGCAGTTCTCCAGACGGAAGAGGGCTCCGTAAGGAAGAAAACTACATATAGAGACTCACGGAGACCTGATCATTGGCTAGATAGATTTTCCATTTGTAGCCAACTCGTCAAATCAACGGTTTCAAAGCTTCTCTTGCCTCTAAGTCTTTCTCTTTACTTTTTCGTCCTCTGATATGATGCTCTGGGCTTAGAGGCCAATGATGTAACTAGTTATCTACCTTGCTTTACGTGGAAGTATGGATGTGCCAGTGCCATTCGATCTCCACTAGAATAAAGACCGAGAAAACTGCATACTATAACTGGTAGTTATCTAGGTAGTCGTACTGTAATCAACGGCGTGGTAGAGGGATATCATAAAATCAATACAAATTAACGAGCGATTGCGAGCTGGGGACTCTCGCACGAAGTACCGTTTGAAAACGAAAGGGGAGTAACAACAGATCACTGGAGCCAATATGTGATTGATTCCTAACTACTCGCTCCACCTTTGAGAAGCTCCTGGCTACTCGGTCCACTCAGACTATAGTTTTCGAAGTCAGTTTGACCTTTCTTTAGACTTGATTCCTGGAATATACATCCTGGATATGCGGGTTCTGATTGGATACTATATTAAGCATTTGAATCTTGACCGCTTCTATGATAGTATATTTTACACGAGATATACACACGGTGCCTACTCTTCCGTGATCATCAGCGCGGGGACCCGATGCAAATATTCAGTGCCAGTCTCAGCAGACGGCCAACTAAATAGTGGCCGGCTGGACAGTTTAACTCCAGAGTTACCCAAGCCATACTCGTTTGCTTTTCCCTTATACTGATTTCAATGCATTGTCTATAAAAGACTGATCAAGACGGATATCTTCTTAATCCATCAGTGTTGGCGCAATTTGACTTTTGAAACCATCATCGTACCCGATCGACAGGCCTATGCTACAAGTGCATTGCATCTCAACACGTCTATAAGGGCGGAGACAACAGAGATAGGCCGCTCCCAGTTAGTAACCGAATACCCAATACTTATCCATCAGTGAATCCAACGCCATTTCACTAAGCAACTATTGGTCAGTCCGATTACAATTCCCAAACGCCAGAATGGCACAGTTAGGTGGTTTAACGATGAGAAAGGATACGGCTTTATGACCCCAGATTCTGGCCCTGATATATTTGTTGAGTCCAAGACAATCGAGGCTAGTGGTAAAGTCCATCAAGGAGGGAAGCATAAGCCAGGTTGTTTTTTTCGAAATATATCTTCATTTGAAGGCAGTGAGATATAACAGAAGAGGATTTTGGTTATTCTCGTAAATTACCAAAGAAAACTAAAAAAAAAAACTAGGAATACAGCTCATAAAAATTTCGTTACAACTCATAAATCGCCTAGTAGTTGCGCTGACTGCCGAGGGCATCTTTCGCATCAACTCTGGGGTCGAGCTTGTTCAAGAGGTCAGAGCCGTGGGGGCCAGTGGTCTTTCCAGTCTTTGAGGTATGCTCGGTGTAGTTGCTACCACTGGCTCCGGAATTATCGCCATAGTTGGACTGGCCAGTAGAGCGGCCAGTGGTGCTGCCATAGTTGTCAGCAGTGTTGCTGGAGCCGTAGCCGGACTGTCCAGTGGAGTGGCCAGTGGAGCTGCCATAGTTGTCGGCAGTGTTGCCGGAGCCGTAGCCGGACTGTCCAGTGGAGTGGCCAGTGGAGCTGCCATAGTTGTCGGCAGTGTTGCCGGAGCCGTAGCCGGACTGTCCAGTGGAGTGGCCAGTGGAGCTGCCATAGTTGTCGGCAGTGTTGCTGGATCCGTAGCCAGTCTGTCCAGAAGAGTGACCGGTGCTAGAGCCATAGCCGGTCTCTCCGGTAGAGCGACCAGTGGTGCTTCCGTAGTTGTCGGCAGTGTTGCCGGAGCCGTAGCCGGACTGTCCAGTGGAGCGGCCAGTGGTGCTGCCATAGTTGTCGGCAGTGTTGCTGGAGCCGTAGCCGGACTGTCCAGTGGAGTGGCTGGCGGTGTTGCTAGAGAGAGGGTTGTTGGAGCCATAACCGGTCTGTCCAGAAGAGTGACCGGTGGAGTGGCCGGTGGTGCTGCTAGACAAAGGGTTGTTGGACTCGTAGCCGGTCTGTCCGGTGGAGCGGCCAGTGGTGTTGCTACCGTAGGTGTCGCTGGCAGACAAGGGGTTGCTGGAGCCATGGCTGGTGGAGTGGCCGGCCTGTCCAGAGTGACCGGTGCTGGAGCCGTAGCCAGTCTGTCCGGAAGAGTGACCGGTTGTGCCGCTGGACAGAGGGTTGCCGGAGCCGTAGCCGGACTGTCCTGTGGAGTGGCCAGTGGTGCTGCCATAGTTGTCGGCAGTGTTCCCAGAGCCGTAGCCAGTCTGTCCAGAAGAGTGATGTCCAGAAGAGTGACCGGTGCTAGAGCCGTAGCCGGTCTCTCCAGTAGAACGGCCAGTGGTGCTGCTGCCGTAGGTGTCTCGACCACCAGACAAGGGGTTGTTGGAGCTGGTGGATCCAGCGTGCGTTCCTCGGTTGTCGAGGTCGTTGATGTTGCTGGAGCCAGTGTTGGAGCCATATCCGCCAGCACTGTTAGATCCGTAGTTCCCGGATGTTCCTGAACCGACATCAATGGGACCCTTCTTGGAGTCATGGATGGTGTCGGAGCCACCGTGCCCAGTGCTACCAGTGCCGTAGTTTCCAGCTCCAGTCGAGGTACCTCTCTCATAGCCGGAGCCAGAGTTTAGGCCACTAGTGCCAGAGCTGTGGCCTTGGCCAGTGGTAGAGCCGGTATTAGCACCAGAGCCGTAGCCTCCAGTACCGGTAGTAGATGTATTCTCATAGCCGCCAGAGCCAGAGCCATAAGTGTTGGAGCCTGCGGTGTTGGAACCTGTGTTGGAACCTGTGTTGGTTGAAGTGTTGTATTTGCTGTTATCCGCGGTGTTGTTCGAGGATCCGTAAGTATCCCGGGTATCTATGTGAATAGAATTGTTAGCATCACAGTGTGCAATAGTCTCTTTACTAACAACAACCTACCATCGATCTTGTTGGAGGTCTTGGAGTAGTCATGGGTGGAGTTATGGGTGGTCTCCTTATCATGATGGCCGGTCACGGCATCCTTGACCTTGTGAAGAATGCTGGACATGATGGGTGGAAAGTATTATGCTTTGATAGTAAAGTAGAAGATTTGAAAGTAGTAATGCTTGAATATATTGTTCAATTCAGATGTTTGTGTTGATGAAAAGGAAGGCCAAAGTGATCCCAGTAGGGAGTTTATATATGCTTTGTCTGCTTGTGATCAGATCAGATCCCTGCGGAGACCGAGTGACGCCATAACGCGGGGATCCACGAGTGCAATCACCGGTGAGACATGGATTGGAGCTCTTCGACTGTCCAATTTATGGGTTGTCATGACGTCCAAAGCGGGTTTATACATACAGATGAGAATTCTTGGCTGAAAACGAGAGCTACCAATGTCATCCATCGTCATGTCCCAGATCTACAAGACCAAGAACGCCACTTGAGCCAGCTCTTGCAGGATACCTTGTAGATCCATCGGCCCACAAGGACGAAGCTGGCTGGAGGGCTGACTTCATATTACATAAGTGTGGGTTTCCACACCTAGGCCATTCCACAATTTCGTGCTAATTCTCCGAGTGATTGTTCTGTCCTAGGCAATTGAAGCTTGGCCATCGGTTTATTATGTTTTCGTGGGAATAACCTGTATTATTTGTGCTCTTTTAGGTCTTACAAAGGCTATAGTAGACATATAAAAGAGGACATATACTATAGTCCTTTTTTTAAGGTCATGTACGTCATAGATGTCCTAGTAATTTCCCACGCTAATCCACATATGGTAAGTGGGGACCGGACCTTATCGTAAAGTCCAAAAATATCTCATGGGTGCTTTGAAGATCATATTAAATATTGTAGAATGCACTAGACGATTCGACCAGCTACAACGATCTACATAATTGTACTACATAATTTGTACATTACGCGATTCAAATCCAAAATCGAAAAGGCGGTGGATTACGTAGCCTAGCAGTGCCCAGGCGATGGCATGATCGGCGGTAGCTCTGGTCGAGAACCGTGGAAGTATCAACTTGAAATCACATCAACAATATATGCCTATTATTGCGAGATCCAAACCGAGCAAATGACATGGACCATTGTGTTATTATAATATGACATTGTATGAACAGAATTTGTCAAGAGTAATCCTTAAAATTATCATTTCTCTCCAATACTTGGTGGCGTCTTTGTCTCGGTGTATGTTGCATCTTTCTACTTTTTGACCAAAAAAACCTAAAAGATATACAAATGGTTATGCTACCTACTATAGCGTTAAGCTTTAATATTGCTGCTATCTCTAGTGTTGTTTTCTTCTAATGTATGTTATACTTAAGAGGGTCATGTGATTTGGGGCACCAAAGCCAGTGTCATGCCTCAGGTTTCAAACACATGACACTGGTGGATATGCCGTCACCTGCCGACCCGGGGTTAATCCATATCATGAGTTCACTTCTCCTTCTCCACCTGACTGACTTCACTTGAACTCCCCTCTGTCTCTCTATCTTGTCTTCTTGTTCGCTTTGACTTCCCCTGCGCTCGCGTTAGCTGTCATCCGTCGACTTCCTTCAACCAGCCGTGGTGCTGCTCATTGCACTCGATGAGTGGCGGCCTGCTAGCTTGCCGCCAACCGTTGGATTGGTCATAAAGAGTCCACCCCAAAGTATTGTGGTCCAGCGGAGCCGCTGGTATCGTCAATCATTCACTCGATCCACCCGTTGCTATTGTGATTAGATATCTTTCGATTAAGCTGCTCTTCGATTTAAGTGGTTTAAACCATCTATCAGACATGCGACCGCCACGCTTGCTCATCGTCCTCTTCTGCCTTATCTTCTTTCCGATCCTCCTTACCTTCTTTTCCGCGCTTACATCGCCCGATGTAGCAACTCCCAATACGCTCGCTGGTCAAACAAGTGGGCTGCGCGCTTTGTTTTCTTTCAACATACCATCGTCCCTTTTCCCTCCGTCAGCCATTATCAGTCTCACCGATGACAACTCGACCTTCTTCCTCGCCCGGCCAGCGGCATTTGGTCCGCTGCTGCCTATCAAAGGCCTCAGCGGTCAGTTATGGGTGGGAAGTGGTTTTGGTGAGGGGGGATTAGCTGGCGTGGAAGGGGAACTAGGCTGCTCCGATATTCCCGGCTGGGGTGAGGGCGCCAACCATAAGAAACAAGACAAAATCTCTAGGAGCGCGGAGCAGAGTTCCGGCATCTCCGGAGGTAGTACAGTTAATGATCAGTTATCAAACCGCCCGCGGTCGGTGTCGCAGGCCGATACCACACCTCAAAACGATAGAGATGATCCAACCACCCCACCCTTCACGAACGATGGCACCGACGATCATCTACATCATCCACTCCCTGAATCCGGTGCTTCTCACCCCGGGATGAGTCAGAAGTATGGAGATTCTGCCCAGAGCAAGCCACCTGCGCATGCCGACATCCAATCGCTACAGGAAACTGCCGAAATCCAGGGCAAGGTAGTGCTGTTGAGTCGAGGTGGGTGTGGGTTCTTGGAGAAGGCCAAGTGGGCCCAACGACGAGGAGGTGTTGCTTTAATTGTGGGCGACGATACTCGAGGTGGCAATTTGGTTACTATGTACGCACGAGGCGACACATCGAACGTCACGATCCCGGCATTGTTCACATCACACACTACTGCTCATCTTTTATCGTCATTGGTTCCTGGACACGCCAGTGGAACTACCGGTTTGGGTGATGTGTTAAAATCCTCACAAGCGAAGCTAGCGGGACAAGCTGATGCCGACAAAGAACGGGTGGTGAGTACTACAGCAACAACCATTCCAAGTCCGACTGCTAGCAGTCATTCGACAGCCAAAGAGAGGCCTGCGCCTTCGTCTCACTCGAAAGGCGGGGTTTTCCACGCAATTGGTGCATTCCTGGGATTGTGCGATAAGAATGGAGGTTCGCGGCATCTGGAAGACAGTCGACGTCCGCCCAGCAGCGGCAACATTGACTGGATCAACCTAGGCTCATGGGATGAAAAAGAAGCCTCGTCGAGTGCCCGGAAGAGATCAACGGATCTCAATAATCGTGGTCGGGCCAAGGATGACACATTTGACAGCCACAAGGCCGACATGTCCCCTGAAAGTTTTGAGGATGATGATTTTGTCATCGGGGTTCAGGACTGGAGAGATCCCGACTTGATGCCTCCTAGGAGTACCGCATCCCCGACAGCTAGCACCTCTGTAACTGGCAAGGATACCTCCAAGACTGCCAGTGCGGATAAAGATGCCGCTTCCTCGGCTAATGGCCTTCAGGGTGGTAGCATAACACCAGGAAGTGGGGAATACCAGAGCATCGACAAATCCAGTGCTGGCTCTCATGACACGCGCCTCAAAGGATCTGAGCAAGAATCTAGCGGAACTCATGGGAAGTCTGAATCTTCTACGAAGGGCTGGTTCTCAAGTCACTTCGGATGGGGAGATGATACTCATCAAGACCCTCAGCCTTCTTCGTCGCCCTCACTTCAGAAAAGCACTACAGCAAACCAGAAAATGCAAAATAGCCCTCACTCCTCGAGCCGTCTAAACGCGGAGACTTCCGAGCACGAAGGTCTTTGGGTTACCATGACACCTACCAGCATGTCTACCAGCCCCTTTTTCGATACTCTATTGGTCCTTGTCGTCAGCCCATTACTTACGCTGACGGTGGTTTATGCCCTTTTGCTGCTCCGGTCTCGAATCCGTCGTCGTCGCTGGCGTGCCCCGAAGTCGGTTATCGAACGACTTCCTGTTCGAACCTACCACACAATCACTACCACTTCTTCCTCGTCTTCCAACTCAACCCGTCCTCCTAGTCCTGGTCCTCTATCCCCGACTTCCCCGCTCCTTGGCAATGAAAGCCGGCCAAGCGCATCCCGATCAAATAGATCACGTTCACAAACATTTTCGGGCACTATGCTAGACTCATCTGTTGCGCACAAGGAAGAGAAGTGTAATATGCAAAACGGATCTACTTTGTGGCGACGCAAGTACACAGGAAGGCAGGTGGAGTGCGTCGTATGCCTTGAGGAATATATCGATGGTCTGAGCCGGGTCATGAGGTTGCCATGTGGCCATGAATTCCATGTGGAATGCATGTAAGTGACATGAAAAAATTCGGTCTTTGTTTTGATATTTTACTAACCTCTTTTGTCAGTACTCCCTGGTTGACTACTCGTCGACGAACTTGTCCAATCTGTAAAGGCGATGTTGTCCGTTCATTGTCCCATTGTCAATCCGGTGATTCTCAGGGTCATCGTGAGCAGTCCAATGATGACGTTCACTCCGCCCAGCCGATTTCTCGAGGCAGTACCTCTTCCGCTCCATTGCAAATTGAAGGCGTCAACGACGATGCTTTAGATACGGAAGAAAATGCAGGTCTACTTGGCGACCATGCAAATTCCGCCCCACAGTCCAGCTGGCGAAACCTGGCTACTCTTAGCTTTTCTGCTCTGAGCGGCGATACGATATGGCACCAGGCTCGTGCGGACCGTAATCGCTAATATCTATATTCTATCCACTCTTTTCGGGTTTTTTTTTACCATTCCCCCCTCTGTCCTGTGGGATTTGCTCTCCTTGTATTGAAGCATACTGTATTAGCGATGGTTTTGATTTTCTTATGACTTGACTCTGCTAGGCGTTGGGTGAGAACAGTTTGGCGATTGCAAAGTGCCTACAAGCATTATTGAAGCGGCTGGGATATACCGCGGGTCAATCGTTCAAAACTTGTATGTTATTGTTTCTGGTATGGATGTCTGAATTGGATTCCATTGTCACTTGTCCTTACTACTGTTTATTGATGTAACCAAATAATCACATAATAATGGACATTGGCAAAACAATCCTGTTCAAACCACTCAAAGCCTCATTCCTTGTCAACATAGACATTCCCAGCAATCTCCCTAAACACATCAAGCGTATGGACCAACCGATCACGCACCAATTCAATACGAGGAATCATATCCCGACCCAAGGGCAAGAACCCCTCACTCTCATGCCCAACACCAACACCCTTGCCAACGACAACTTCATAAATCGCCTTGGCAGCCTTATCCTTGTCGCCATCAGCAACATGCTTCCCACTCTGTATAGCATCCAACATCTTCATGGCCACCGAGCCAACATAGTCTGCCGGTAAAGGGCTAGCAGGAGAAACACACCCAGTCCCGAACTGCGTGTTGAACACTCCCAACCACACCGTCAGAAGACGGACATTGAAGGGTGCGATTTCCTTAGCGAGCACTTTACATAAACCTGTATAGACATTAATACATATACGTAAACGAGACATTCCTCAGAAGAAAGAGAAAGAAATGAAGAGAAAGAACAAGGGAACATACCATCCATAGCAGCCTTCGCTGCTGCATAAGCACCCATCCGCTCCCTCCCCTCCAATCCAGCCCCAGAACTAACATTAACAACAACTCCAAACCGCCTCTCCCTCATCCCAGGAACAATAGCTCTAATCAGTCGACTCGGTCCAAAATACACCGTCTCCATCTGGGCCCGTAGCTCCTCGTCCGAGAACTGCTCTACTGCCCCGAGAATCGCGTATCCGGCATTATTTACCAAAACATCAATCGTGTGTCCTGCGGACTCGAGCGTAGATAGCAGCTCAGAAGCGGCGGTTGGGCTATCGACGTCTAGTGCGTGCCATTCGCCTCCGTTTTGGGTTATCTCGGATACTAGATCTGGGGTGCGGGAGGGTTGGCGTGATGTTGCGAGCACTGTGTGGCCGCTTGATTGGACTGCGCGTGCTAGGGAGAGGCCCAAGCCGGAGGAACAGCCTGTTATTAGCCAGGTTAGGGGGCGGGTGGGTTTGGTGAAGGTTGCTTGGGTGGCCATTGTCGGTTTGTTTATGGATGCTGATTTGCAAAAGACTTATGATTTTGGGTAATATAATATTATCAATATCAGAATAGCACCTAGGCACTGCTCTTTTATATCACATTGCTGCTGCAAGCTACGGAGTTATGGACGGATTTAAGATAACAAAATGACAGACCCTCGCAAGCGAGGGTCCGCCACCCATTTGCAAAGGATCACCTAAATACAATTATTCTCATACCTTTTACTTCAACCACCATTTGACGTATTCGGTAAGCGGGTGGTCCATGTAAGCCAGTGGGTCCACCCCAAAACACATAGTAAATGCGATAAATTACAATTTGATATCTCAAACAACGATGGTCTGTGTGGGCTTTTCCTTGTAGCTGAATGCTTTTTATATGCTATCTCTACACTCTAGGGAGTTGAAAGAAATTTAGTAAACTTGTGAGTGAGGTTTATATATACTCTAGAGCTTTTGCCGTGTAATTTTCGATACCGCAATAATGCTTTCGATTTATTCGAAATTGATATATACTACTAAGAATGCTTATCGGTAGCTATCGGCAAGTAATTAAATAAAACAAAGACGTTGGTTGTTGAGATATAAGTGTAACAAATATCGCATTTACTATGTGTTTCGGGGTGGACCACTGGCTTACATGGACCACCCGCTTACCGAATACGTTACTATCTTACAACGTAGTATATTAATTAATTAAAAATAGTAAAGAAATCAATTAGCCATTTGACTACTAGAATATTAAAAAAAATCACTTCTCCCGGCGTTTCTTTGCCCTGCCATGCTTCCTAATTTCAACTAGGCTGGAGGAAAATGTAGTAAATATAGTCATAATTCTACAAGATAAACCCGAGACAGTAACTAAAATACAAGGTCCTAGCACCACAATATAAACATACAGACCAAATACATACGAAGTGAATCCCGAAACCCCTCCCATCACTCAAGCGAAAAGTCAATGATGCGTTCAACAAGACTCCGGCACACACGACAAGCTACAACCAAACCGCCGGAACGGCAAAGGCCGAAGCTTCTCCCCGGGACAGCGAGGCATCTTCATCCCATTCTCACACGGGGTAAAGTCCCACCATTCCATCCATTCAGTGCGGGGAATCACATACTCTCGCCGGCAAACGGAGCAAGACTGTCCACCCGCAGCGCGCACTTCTCTCGCTTGTTGTAGCAAGGGCACAATCAGCGCTGGATATTCGGCCAGCTCTTCGTCGGTGGTTTGCTCTAGGTAGGGGAGCTTGCTCACAGCACGGAGCGCGACTTCGCGCAGGGACGGGGCGCTATTTACAGGTGATGCCAGGTCTGATGGTGTGAGATTGGGTCTGTTGCAGAATGTGTTGTCTCTGATGGGGGTTCCCTCCATATTCATGTAGGTGATTGGGCTTGTTGCAACGTGGATAGGGGTCCAGCCCTCGTTGGGAGAAGATTGCTCTTGAAATTGGAGCGGAGGAGATGGATCCTCCTCTGATGAGTCCTCGTAGTTTTCAGTTTCCTTTTTATTGGTCGATTTGTAGTGCCATTCTGCGATCTGCACGTCTTCGATTGAAAGGAATGGGTTCGGGCGTACAGTTAGGTGTTTCAGTTCGCCTTGCTGCATGAGTCTGAGGATCTCCCAGGGAAGGTAGGTCAATTGGTTGACGGAAAGATTTAAAACTTCCAGTGCTATCAGTCTGCGGACTGTAGATGGGATTTCGGACAGCTTGTTGTTTCGCAAGCTGAGGACTTTGATATTGCTAAGCTCGAAGAGATCGTTGTGCAGGGCTGATAGGGAGTTGTTGGGGAGATATATGTGGAGGAACGGTTGTAGAGATGTGAAGACGTTCTCTGAGACCGGGGCTTCCTTGACTGATGGAAGCTTCGTTAGATGCTGTAGAGGTCGTAGGAGACCGGATGGTATAGATCCCAGATGGAAGTCGCTGTGTAGAAAAGAGCCATTAGCATCATTGGCTCGGATAAAAGGGATATCGGATGAAACTAGAACATACCCCAGATCAATACTCTCATGTCCCTTATCAAGACAATCGCCGACAACCTCCCGCGCGTATCGATGAGCATCGGATTCTTCAGGACTTTTAAACGCAACGCGCGTCTGCGCAGGCACATTCTCCGTCTCATTAACGAAAGGCGTAGATCCAGACTTTCTAGGATCAAGCACAGACTTGCGCAAGTCTTCCCCCCACGCCGAGCCATCCTCCGACGCTAAAAGCGACTCGGCACCAGACTCATCACTCCCCATCCACACACCACTATCAACATTTCTCTTGTCCTTAAAGTCTGCCCTTTTCCGCTTCGGATCTATCACCTGCTCCCCCCACCAGGTCCCCCGATACCGCCGTTTGCGACCCGCGCCCGAAACTGTCGCATGGTAGTTCTCCAGTCCGGAAGCCGGGATATCGTCACTGGAGAAGAGCGCAGGGTCACTGGATGGCTGACTAGAGCGGTCATCAAAGCGCGACAGTCGCTGCGCGCGCTGGAACGAAGACCAGGCCGCGCCTGTCGCTGAGGGGTTCGCGGCGGGCGAGCGGTGCCGGATTCGCCGCGGCGGTGGGAGGGGGATCTCGCTGTCCATTGCGATTTCAGTTTCGCGATGTTCAGACGAGTCTCTGGTTCTCGGCCTGGGTCATTGGGGTTCTAGCACGGTTTTATCTGATGTTCGGAGTTGCGCGACGCGTTGTGGAGACCCGCGATGGATAGGTCAACAAACGCGCTAATGGCGCGATTGGGGGAGATAAGGGTTTTGGATCGACTGGAATCAATTGACAGACCTCTCCGTCTGGAAGAGAAATCCTTCAGTTAGAATGGAAAACAGATCAGATCAAAAGATAAGATCAGATCACACGTGCACGGGCATCAGTTGACCCCGGAGCAAACGGCTTTCCTCCCGGGGCCGCTCCACTGGAATGTTGGATCGACGTGACCTACTCTATCTTTCTATGCACATGCTACTTACTGCTCCTGATATTTACCGTTAGAAATGATATCAAAGGAGAGAAGAAAATAAAGTGTCTATATTCTGCGGATGACTCAAAAGTTGACTCAATGCAAGATCTGGATCTCAGCCAGATCAGTCGACTGGTAAGTCACCCACGACAAGATATATGGACAAACGAATCGAATGTAACAGGGGTTTGAAGAAGAGAATAATAACAGCATCAACTCATATCGGTCCAAAAAGTCATAAAAAAAAAAAACAAAGAAATGGGGGTATTTGAAAAAGCGTTAAACCGTTTCCTCTCCAAGAATGGGCTCTTCAGCTAACCGAGAGGAATAGAACTGTGAAGTATAAGAAGGGGGAAAAAAGAAAGGAAAAAAAAGCTCCCGGCTCTGCTGTAGATGAACGGCAATCAACAAGGCAGCTCATGCAGTATGAATTGAGCGCGGTATTAACAATGGTCCCAATTCATGATCGTTGCCTGCGTGAAGGCTTTCTTGCCCGTCGCAAAATGGCGAGGGTGATCACAGGGCTTGGCCCATCATCACAACGATATAGCCAGCGGCAGCCAAGGCAGCTGGCATGCCAGCGCCAATGTTGGATGCTGCGCCGGTCGAGGTGGCGGCTGCGGCCGAAGAAGTAGTGGAGGAGGCGCGAGACAGAGGAGTCGAGGTCGAGGCAGACACAGTGGTCATGCTGCTCGCGTTGGAACTCGTGATGGCGCTGGAACTAGGAGTTGGAGTCACCGAATTGACGCGAACCAGAGTCTTGGTGATAGTCGTGGTTGCAGTTGAGGTAACGGTCTCCTCTGCGGCGACGAATGGAGCCGCGACCAGGCAGAGGGAGGCGATGATGGCAGTGAACTTCATTTTGAGAATTCGAAAGTGGATATCAATATGAAAGAGGGATCAAAGTTGGATGTCAAGATTTGCGATGCGTTGATGCGCGAAGTATGAGAACTTAGGGCAGAATAGATATGTTTATTTGAGCGCAAAAAGAGTGAGCGTCAATGTTCAAGGTAAAGATCGTGTAGAGCACTGCTCAAGTATAAAAATGAAAGTGTATCGAGAAAATCTCTAACGCGCCTAAGAAAAAGGGAAAAGGAAATTTTACAAGGGTGGCCCAGACTTAAAGAGTCCACGAGGGACACCCTAACCTGGGGAATAAGGCGATTCGTTCAAAGTGCCGTGGCGCTTTGTTTTCTTAGATTGATTTTCCAGTCGGAATTTGACCATCCTATTGGCCCCTTGAACACGCGGACCCTGGAACTATTCAAGATTGGGCTCCAGAAAGAGCCCTAAAGACAAAGGGTCTTCCGCACAGACTTTTGCCAGGGGTAAGAGTTTGTGTTATATGTTGGCCATCTCTTGGCCTCATACGTGTCACAGCTAATACGAGGATTCTTCGCCTATGTATACTCTATAGGTAATTTCAGCACCCAATCCTAGTCTAGCAGGGAATTCCCTTTACGAAACAGTTTTGGTCTTTTCCCAAGCGCCTTTGTTTACTTTGGCTAATTTTACCTACTGTGCTCTGTTTTTGTGTACCCCTGGAGTCAAATGTCTCTGGGCACACTACTGCAGGTGTTCACTCCCTCACGGGGACTTCCGTCACTTCCGTACCCCTGGCATGTGCAGGAACAACGATCGGTGATTCGGTCTTAAAACATAACAGTTCATCGATTTGGCTTGATCTGGATCTTACATCTTACCAAAGTCATTCCGGTTCCCCCGTTAGCTTACCTTACCCGGTTCCCACACCGAGAAAAGACTTTTTTTTTTTCTTTCCTATACTCCATAAGGTTCTGTCGATCACGTAGTTCCATCCAGGAAAGACGAACTGATCAGCGCTCGGGCCTACTGTGTTGGGCATCTCTACTCCATCTGGGGAGGAATGTTGAGTCATTCCACGTTAGGTGTTATTTGTATTAGCCTTATACATTTTAGTAGGAACAGTATTATGTGCTGGCGTGAGACGGAGACAAACATGTTGAAAGGGTCTTTGGGTCTTTTTCAGGGGCTCTGACTCTTTGGCTCTGACTCTTTGGACTCGCGAAGCCCTATGTCCTCCGTATCCACTTTGAACAACCTCAATACTCCGGACAAGCTATACTTGAAAATTTAAGATCATTATTCATATCCATAGTCTGAACTGCATACTTGTCTGTGCAAGGTCATGTAAAAAAAAAAAAAAAAAAGGGCGCAAAACCAAGTTAAACATGATGGCTCTCTTTCCTTTTTGGCTTAGGGCGCTCGATCTAATATTGTTCAATGGGCATGTCCGGGGTAGCCCAAACAAGGACGGCGGTTGGTCAACGGCTAGTTAATGCCTGAGAATTAGGGAAACGCGTTCTAACTGGAATAATCAAATTGAGTCTATATCCCCGGTTACAACGCCTACGATATATAAAGCTAGAGTGAGATCCAGTAGACTCAGCAAGATGAAGGGGATGGATATAAGTGGATATTAATGAAATTCTCAATCATGCCATGCATATGGCTCTCTGTATATACCTTCTTGGTTCATCTATGAGAACTTGGCAAGACTGAGGCAAATGCCCTGCATTGGACTTTGACCAAATTTCGAGGCACCCAAATCTCACACGTGCTCACACATGACTTTAGTCTTGGTCATAAATCGGTGCTTCGGAAATAGTAGTTTTTGACACCAATACCATAAGGGATGGGAGGTATATCTGTTGGTACCTATCACCAGTTCATTAGTCCTTGGAAAGCCATGCATGCTCTTAGTTGCCATCGAGGCTGATACACATTACAATTGTGTTTAAGCACATCTGTCGGTTTCTGGTAGATTGGACTTATATAGCACAGTCGATTACGTGGCGACCTTCAATCAAATCCACACCTGCATGAGTCCACCATAGGTACAGATTTAGGATGACGCTGGGATTGGACGAAACAAATATTTCTTGGAGAGAGTGCGCGCATAAGGCACCGGGAATAAGCGTGGTCTCTAATGGGATATGTGATGATTCCATACGTAGATCTCCAAGTAAAAGATTGTATGTAGTAATAGAAGCTCAAGCATATCAAAACTGTCAATTCCATTAGTTGCATTTGTTTTATATTATCTCCCCAGCCTTTTCACCTCCAGCCATTCCAGTTTCTCGCCTACAGCGCAGGCTTTTCATCTTTGATCCCCCCGAACTGATTCTGCCAGAGGTTCTGATATCTTCCACCCTCCTTCTTCAGCAGCTCGTGGTGTGACCCGCTCTCCACAATCTGTCCCTCATGGACAACAAGGATGCGATCGGCGCTGCAAATAGTTGAAAGTCGATGCGCAATGACAAACGTAGTTCGCTTGGTTCTCAATCGGTCCAACGCAACCTGGATATCCGATTCCGTGCTCGAGTCTACAGCGCTCGTTGCTTCATCCAGCAGGAGGATCGGCGACTTCTTTAGGAAAACCCGAGCAATGGCTATGCGCTGTAGCTCACCACCAGACAACTTGACACCCTGTTCCCCGACTGTGGTGTTGTATCCGTCCACGAACGTGAGGATTTTCTCGTGAATAGCTGCGGCGCGGCATGCTTCGTGGACCTCTTCGTCCGAGGCCGAGGGCCGGGCATACCGCAGATTCTCGATGATAGACGCGTTAAATAAGACAGGATCTTGTGGGACGACGCCGATAGTTTGCCGCAGCGAGCTGAGAGTTATGTCACGGATGTCTTGGCCGTCGATCTTGATTTGGCCCGAAGTAACGTCGTAAAGTCGGAGAAGAAGTCGGAGAATCGTTGTCTTCCCAGAACCGGTCATACCGACCAGTGCAACTGTTGTCCCGGGTTCGATAGAGATATCCACGTCCTTGAGGGTCTTTAACCGCGAATCATAGGCAAAGTCAACATGATGGAATGAAACGCGGCCATCGCTAGCTTTCAGCGGTATAGCATTTTCCTTGTCATTGACACTGGGCTTGGATTGGAACAGGAAGAGTAGCCGTTCGGCATCGACTAGATCAGAGACAAGCCAGCGATATTGCGCCGAGAGATAGGCCAAAGGAGAGATGAGCGAAGACCAATACTGAATGAAGAAAACAAAGTCTCCTGTAGAGGAACGCCCGACAGAGATCTCGTGTACAATGAGCGAGGAGAGACCAACGAAACAAATTGGCTTGAGTAAATCTAGGAGTGACTTGCCGATGGCTCGGCGTTGACCGAAACGCGCGCTGGCCTTCAAGCATAGGTCAACTGCTTCTCCAAAGCGAGACCGCTCATACGAGAATTGATTGAAGTAGGTGACAGTTTGCCAGCCTTGCACGGCCTGATGCATAATGCGAGTTTCGTTTCGCTGTGTCTGTGTAACTTCACGTCTGGCGTCCATGTTCCAGTTGGAGGTAAAGACCTCTGCCGCAACGTAAGCAATAGATACTATCACCACTAGAAGGGAGGCGTAGACATTGAACTTCAAATAGAAAACAACACATGCAATTGCCAAGTCAGCCACTGTCGGGACGATATCTAGTATGGCAACTTCTAACAGATTGTTCAGCGCTCCACCTTGATCGATGGACTTCATAACTTCTGCCGAGTCATTTTCGATATGGAAATCCATTGATAGATTCATGACATGGCTGAAGGCAGCATTGGTGATCTGACGGTAAGAGAACTGCCTGATCGGAATCTTGACGAGGGCCTCAATCAATCCTAGCCCGGCTCCTCCGCGAATGAGCTGCAGCAGTGCCCATTTTCCTAGTGAAGCATATGGGGTTTTGTGGGCAAAGATGCTATCGGTCACATCTGCGAGCTGCTGAGGAATGAGAATATTCAGGGCTCGGTGGCATACTAGACAGAAGATGCTGGTAGCAATACAAAGCTGCACTTTGCGATTTTTTCTGGGGACCAAATAAGGTAGAAAGATAGAGAAGCCTTTCAGATAATCCCACCAGCCTCCAAGTGACTGTAATTTCTCTTTGCGGAGTCTTGTCCTGCGTGTAGCTGCATCGTTCTTATTTTTGTCAGAGTCTGACTCGCCCTCGCTCTTGGAATCCACACTGCTATTGTCTGAATCGTTCCCATTCGCTGCCCCATATCTTGTCTGATTACCATTTAGGAAAGGGCGCGACTCTTCCGATGTCTTTTTCTTTCTCTGTCTGGTTTCGGAGAGAATCGCAGCCGTCACACAGAGAAGCAGGGCAAGCCGGACCGCTGAGAATGTGAGCTGCGTGACTGGTACCCACTGTCTCGGTTTGCGACACAAGGAGAGCGCAAGGAGTGGAACTTCGAAACCAGCGGTGACCGACGAGGCTCCAGCCACTTCGTACTTGGAAGGATTTTGTCGTAGCCAAAGTGCAGTCCATACAACCGCCTGAGAGGTCATATGCACCAGGAACGGCTGAGAACTGTCCAAATCATCGGTGGCGATTTTCAAGACTGTTTGACTGACATATGTGAAAATGATCAAGGCAGTCAAGATAACTCGGGGTCGACTGCGGCGCTTGCGAGTCTTTCTTTTCTTTACCGGATTAAATAAAACGCAGATCACAATATAGAGACTTGTTATCAATGTACAGCTATAGTGAAGAGCCCGAGATGCTACCTGAGCAGTCATGATGGGAGGTTTGGAGACTTGAGAAACACCCCCTAGCAGACGTGGTTTCTTATATATTCCCTAAATTTGAGCCTCACCTTCAGGGCTTATCAAGAACCTTAGGTATTTGCTGAGCGACTCCTCATTGGATGTTATTTTCAATCATGCGCATCTCAAGTTGGCTGTGCCAGAAGGGGGCTGGTATCCTAGCGCCTGTCCAAACACAAAAACTGGGTTGCGACCTTAGGCCTGGAGTAAAAAAGACTTCTGTATTGGGTAATCTGCAGATAGAACTAGAATCCAGCCGCTCACACCGTAGGCTGATGCTCCTTACTCTGTAACGCTTTCAGTGGTTATGTAGACATGCCTTGCTACTCACATTGTACTCCTGTACATTGAGCATACAAGGGGGCTGACTGTGTCAGCTGTTTGAGGATAAGCAATAAAGTAATCAACCTGATGAAACACTGTGATATCTATTCTCATGCTATTCTAATACTGCGACCGTACCTGTGACATCCAGTCGCTTCCGTGGCCTGTACTCTGATGCTACAAAGTTCTACTCGTTTTATCAAGCCAAGAGTACAGTTCCCAACTTGGATAACCTTGGCGTAAATCCCTGAACTCCCCGAGAGCAGCTGGAACAGAAATTCGACATCGCCGCATCTGATTTTAGGATTCACTGGAAAAACGGAAACCAACAGAAATGACTCACTGGTACTGCCTATTTGGCGAGTTGCGGATTGGACCTTTTCCATAGCTTGATGATCAAGCCAAGGCAGAAAAAAATGTCATTATAGAGGATGTTTGGTATTTCAAGGTTTATGGGAGAGTTGAAATGCTATTTAGCGTGGACACCCGGGCATTGAAGTTGACCCCAGGTTTACATTTGAGCCGCAACTTCTAAGTTCGGTCTGAAACAAAACTTGGCATTAGACGCCGGTCATCTAAGACAAATGACCGCGGCTTTATTAGCTTGATATTTAACGTGGTCATATTCACAACCTAGATTTCTTGCTCCAAGTTTGAATCTCAGCAAGGGTACCATAGTCAGACTGGGCCAGTACAGAGTAATTGATTTCCCTTTGAGCTGGATGCACTCTCCTGATAATACTTATATCATTGGTCTTATTCTCACACAGGGGAGATCCATTTCCAATGATAGCACCTGGATCGTGGAAGCTGAAAAAAAAGTATATATTATCACAGTAACGCCTAACATGGTTGGAACAACTGCGACAATTGAACTTTGACATCCATGTTCTGGGTACTGTTAGATTATGTACATCGCGTGCTGAAGTAACAAGTACCCATGAACTTGTCCATCATAGCCATCTTTGGGTAGTTGTCCTTCCTCCTGAAACCACCAGAAAAATTATCTCTTAACCATAGAGATTATATCGTACAAGGGACGTCGCCAGGGAGTGGTCATGTCGCATGTTTCCCGAATATAGTCTTGAGACTGCGAGAAAGATTGTGTCTACTGGCGCATGGGCCGGAGGGGGTTCTGTCGGGGGAGCATCATCGGGGGACCGCGGGCACGGAGCCAGGCATCGTTGCGAGGTCCTTCGGAGCGAATGACGCTACCAATGGACATGAAGAGTCTATTTGAAGAGAAGTTGCTTAGCTAGTGATTCTCAACCAAAGTGGAATGGCTTCTAAGCTCAAAGAGTTGAACATACCCGAAAGTGGCACCTGAACCCAGCATGTACTTGCCCAGAGTCCGCATAACACCGTTGGGGCCAGCACCGTACTGGAAGATTGTCACAGTTCCTGCTTTGAGTTAGCTTAACCGGGCAATCTTCATTTGGGGACAGACTGAGACAAACCAATAATGAAGCCCATGATGCCACCAACAGCTGTGAGGGGAGCTAGGTTAGCAAGAGCTCTTGTGAACAAGGCTTGGTGGTTTTGCGATCACATACTGGAACCCATCATGCAGCCCATTTTCACTAAGAATCTATCAGCACATTTGACCCATATAGATATAGCGCCCCAAGAAATCAAGCCGGGTGTGATCTATATCACTGGGTTGTAGAAGACATACTCTTGTCGAAAGTTGAGGGAGCACCCCCTGGGCCCGCTTGGGCGGGAGGACCAGCAACCACAGGCATTATGAGAAGCTAGAAAGAAACTTGTAAATTAAATTATAAACAGCAGACAACAGCTCTGAGCTGAATGAGAGATCCCGAAGTGATAGTCAAGGAACGAGCTCTTTTTCCTCCCCGGCTTGATGCTTCTCCGCCTTGATCACGTGCACAAACGGGCTTTAAAGTGCACACGTGCCGATTTCACACGTGACCTATTTTGCCTGGCGCGGCGTCAAGGGAGTAGGAAACGAAATGGCCCTGCGCTCTTGCCTGGGTTCCCTGATGGCATCTATTCCCGATCTTTGATTTCTTTTCCGTCACATCTTCTAAAGGGCTGCCTGAAGCCTGCGCCGAGGCGGCAGTCCCGTCTTGTGCTTCTATCATTGCCCTGGCGTGAGACCGGTCGCTCACGATTTCCCGACCTCCACACACCTCCTTGGTCTTGAAGCGGCTATTTTACTCAGTCCTAAATATCTCTCAGTTCACAATTCAGAAGTGAGTTCACTCTTTATTTCCAATATACAAACCTTTTTTTGTGGGGTCGAGGCAAGACCTCGACCTAGGAGCCAATTTATATTTGTCTCTCCCCCCAAACAGCACTAACGCGACCGTCTTCATTTTAGTTGGACGACTAAAGCTCCAATCACCCTTGCGCGCATTCAATATCCCCAACTCTCGGGCATAAAACCAACATTACTACACGTCCTCTTTTCATCCTGCAGACTATCTCAGAATACGGCCCCTTTTACAATTAGGAACCGTGGACGCGCTCCGTGCTCCGTCTAGATATCCCATTTCCTTGAACCATTCGCATCCTTCTCCATGACTGCTGTGGCATCTCCACCTAGTGTCGAATCGGGGTCTCGCTTGGGATGGTACAGCTCTAGCAACGGAGGAGAAGGAGCTCTGTCTTCAGTGAATGCGGACGACGTGTCACGGATGTTCATGCCACGGAAACACGTTCAACGCTCAAACTCCTCTTCCTCTCTGGGGTCGAACTCTTCGACCTCCTCCGCATCTACTGTGAATATCCCTTCCCAAGATACCGATGCCGCGCAGAGTTCCGCCAATGAATCAGAGACTTGGTCGTCATCAAAAAAGAAGTATTCGAAGAATATCTGGCCCAACTCGAAATCCGAGCCAGTATCAGGGGTAACGAACACGCGATCCCAGGCAGTGCCTGCTTTCTCGTCGGGCCCCAGTGCATCGTCGACAATGTCCGCAATGCATCAGCCTTCGAACATTGTTCCATCGCAACAGATGCCTCAGTCATCACAGCAGAATGGTGTCCGTGCGCCAATTGGCCCGCCCTCGGACAACCCAGCAATTTTGATTCTATTGCCATTGAACGGCACCTTTGACAGGAAACAGATCAATGTACCATACTACCCCGAGGTCCTCCGAATCGGGCGACAAACAAACGCCAAAACAGTCCCCACGCCTCTCAACGGATTCTTTGACTCTAAAGTCCTCTCTCGACAGCATGCGGAGGTATGGGCCGACAAGTCTGGCAAAGTGTGGATCCGAGATGTCAAATCCTCAAACGGCACATTTGTGAACGGCCACCGACTGTCTCCTGAAAACCGGGAGTCAGAGCCACACGAACTGCGAGAAGGCGATACCCTAGAGTTAGGTATCGATATTGTCAGTGAGGATCAATCCACCATCGTCCATCACAAAGTTTCATCCAAGGTTGAGCATGCCGGAACATATGGAACTACCCCCAGTATCCTTGATCTGAATTTCGGGGACTTGGATCCTGCCTCTGGGGGCGGTCTTCTCCCTTCCCCCTTGAGCCAGCCAATTTCTCATATGCGCGGTCGAGCTGGGAGCAATGCGAGCAACAGAAGTGCTCAGAGTGTTACTAGTAATCAGCTCAATGCTTTGCATCAACAACGGCAAATGAACTACTGGAACTCGCCAATCTCCATCGAACAGGTCGTCAAGCGGCTTACGGTGCGAATCACACTTTATCTTAATACTACATATTGCTGACTCATTCTAGGGCGAACTGAAATCCGCAAAGCAACAAACAACAGATCTTTCTCAAGCAAAGGAATTTTTGACGACAATCATGAAACCTGGTTATGCAGAGAAAGAAAAGCTCTCTAAGCCGTCTCCTTTGGAGAACAGTGCTCATCGCCAGATCAACGGCCGGCCTAAAATGCCTCGAGTCGACTCCTTTTCCAGATTCTCGGATCCTCCCGCTCCTCCCCCTCAACAGCCTCTGCCAGAGAAACCTGATGCGTTGTCACGAAGCGCCTCGGAATCGTTCTCGCCGCTGAAGCGCAGCGATACGGAAAAGCCAAAGAGCGGTACCGGTTCCCCTGTCTCCCGTGATTCCAGTCAGATCCTGAATCTCATCGAGGCGCTATCGTCTGCCAAGCGAGAGATTGAAACCCACGGCACACGTGTCAAAGAACTAGAAAATATGCTGTCCCAGGAGCAGGCTGCTCGCAAATTGGCAGAAGACAAGGTCAATGAATTGGAGATGCGCTCCGCATTGGATGCTAGAGCAGTGGAAGTCGAGAACGGCATTGTTCCATCATCAGAGAATGGTATAGACGGAAATAAGGAGCAGGACGACACAGAAGCAACCGTGCAGGTCAACGGTATTCATCCTACGGAGGCCCCTACTCCTGACGACAGCCAGGCAGACGCTCCTGTGGAGGATAAGACTGCTGAACTTCAGACTCGCTTGGAAAGCATGATGGAGGAGATGGCAGAGATGAGAAAGCAAATGGAATCCTTCAAAGATCGCGCCGAGAAGGCCGAAGATGAGAACACGGAGTCTCGCAAGTCTTTGAACGAAATGATTGAAACCTTGCGCCAGGAACGCGCCGAGAAAGAATTAGCAACGGCCCTTGACAAGAAAACTGATACGCATGACCGCGAGCCAAGCAATGGCTTGTCGGAACACTCGCTTGCGAGTAATGACACTTTAACGGATTCCAAGACGAAGACTCCGGACCTCGATCCCGCTACCTCTCAGAACAAGGACGTGGATGCTGCAGCTGCAGCCACAGCTTTTGCAACACAACGCTATCGACACAACTATGTGGAAGAAGCAAGTCCTTACGCCTCCATGTTTGGCGTGGTCTTATTAGGAGTAGGCCTGATGGCCTACCTCAACGGTTGGCAAAAGATGGACAAATAAACTTTGAACCAGCTTGGCCTCGCATGCTACTTCTGGGGTTCCATGATCTTTTGACGGCTATTTCTATTGCATAGGCCCTTTGCATTGTTTGACTATGTCTCCTATCTTTCTCATCAGATTTCAGTCTTCGCCAGTCACGACTTTCTGGCGATGAATGTTCTGGTTGCTCCCCTCTCGGTTAAGGACCATTTTCTTGTCCTCATATTCGGAGCCTTTTCCGTTTAGCCCACACTGTCTCTCTTATTTCACGAATTTTTTTTGATGACTTTCTCGAGATCCCTCTGTGATCTCCTTCATGGTCGTCTTTTTCGACGTCCGTTCCTCCCCCTCTTTCTTGCCATCTCCTTTCTCGTTGTTCTTCTTCTACCTCCTACTATGTTACTATTAGCCTGTCGCCCTCTTGGGACTCGACATCTCTCTTTCTCTTTTGTCTGTACATGATGGGGAAAATAAGGATACGTTCATGACTTGCGGCCTCTCTTTGAAACGTTCCGTTCGATGAAGGGTTTTCAGGCATTATCATTCATCATGTCATGTCAGCACAGGACTTTGTGAGCGTATCAAGGAGTTTTTATTCGTACTATTTCGTGTTTTTATTCATGCCATTTTCTTTTTCGCTGGCAGATTCGATGATTCAGGCTCATTCTTTTAAACCTCTTTTGATTGGAGTAGTAGTGTTACCCTATAGTCTTGTCTCTCTTTCTTTCGTTTTTGACACAAGTCTGTCCAGCATCTACATCGCGCTGGGTTGGTTTGAGCGGTGAAGCATGCGCTCCGGTTAAATCAGAGTTCATTTTCAAGGACAACTCGATGTACATGATTTTGTGCTAGGCTAAAAACCTAAGGACAAACGAATTGTTCCTTTCCTCATCCTGCTTAATGGCCTTCCAGGCATCTGTAATGAGATATTGCACCTGTAGAGTATTTGGTACTGGGTATGGTATATGCAAATGAGGAAGGGTGGCAAGAGGATGCCCTCGAATTGGGGCTTGAGGTTTTGACTGCTTCCACCAGCAATATCCCAGAACAGAAATTCAGGATAAAAAGTCTTCTGGGCTTTGTTACTGGGTGGTTTATAGCCACCATGAGCGTTCCATTTGGACCATAGTCACTCAGCAGGATGTGCGTGCACAGCTGGCAATTCTGGGCTTGGCCACAGGCTCATGACAATGGCCTTTTCCCAGCCATGGATGTGGAGTTTTGCAATTAAACATCCTCAGATCAACAGACAGTGGTCGGGCAATCGAATGACCGACTATCGTAGGAGTTTTGTCGGGGTGATCGTGGGTGGATTCACTTGAGGCTGACGGCGACCTCCACCATTTTGATCCACCTCGTCCGGCTCTCTGGGAGCTCGGCGTCATCTTCCGCCACGGCAGCCTGACGTTTCCTCTTCTTTGCAGCCGACTTGGATTCCGGCTTAGAAGCCGCATCTCCCTGGTCCGTCGGGGATTGCTCTTCCTGCCGTTGTCGTTTCTGTTCCTCTTTTGCTTTCATTTCTTCGTCCTCAACAATATCATCCACAACGACCACACTCCCAGGATTGACACGGACTGTGTACTCGGTTCCCTTTTCTTCGAACCATTTGGCTACGTTCAGCGCCTTCTCGATAGCCCGTCCTGTCGCCTTCACAAAAACTTCCTCTCGCTTCTCTGATACCTTCGACAGCTCCTCGAGTATCTGCTTCTCGCTCTTACGCGTGTCCTCAAGGTTGATGTTTGCGGTGGCGCGCTTCTCGGCCTGTAGGAGGAGTTTCTGGACACGCTTGACGGCGCTCATGAACGGCGTGCTTTTGGAGACGTAGACAATCTTGGGCACTGAGGCGCCGGCATATGGGGAGGCGACTGGCGCATGAGGGATAGGACGCTTTTCTACTTTGGCATCTGTTATCCAAAAGTCAGCCTTTGTGATCCTAGCATCGGTCATTGACCCCAGGTGTTTGGATGGGAAGGCTCACGTTTTGGGAGTCTGATAAGGTCTTTGTTCTTTTTCTCGAATTGGAGCTTGTTCTCCAGCGGCCCCTTTGTCATGGTTGATATGTGCCTTGCACGAATAAAAAGTTGCGGAGTTAAGCCAAGGTATTAGCTGCGCGTCTTATCGTCTGCCTTTTTCTGCCAGGCTGGAGGGGCCGCCTGCCCGATATAGGTTGCTTATGTCATCTACTGAACCTTCCTAATTGGGAAGTTATATCTACATCGAAGTAATGTGATTGACAAACTAGTTATATCCATGATGATACCTAGCAGCCCCCGCCAATTCAGAACTAGCAGCTTAGGTCATCTAATTGAATTAGCTCTATACATTTATGGGTGCGCTTGAAAATAAAAGAGAACTTAAAGTGATTCCCTCAGCCAAAGCTACGGAAGGCCGGCGGCATGTTACTGGGCGATTTCCTATCTACTTTCTATGTTGTAAAAAAAAAGAGCAGGTTCTACTCAACGGTCTTCTCCACATTACGGAACTATATTAAATACGCTACGGAGCTTACTGAACTGTTGTCGCGACCCAAGCGAGCAGTGTCACGATGAGTACTCTGTACGGCGGGCATATCTATACATACTTAGACTGCATACGGTGCTTACCAGGAAGTTAAGAGTCCCGCAGTGTGGACATGGCAAGCTGGAGTCTGGTACCAATCTTTCCTCTTGGAACTTGCCGAATGCACAGACACTTCCTGATCCCTCAGGATCTATCAATAGGCTAGCTGCCAATGACACTGATAACAAGTACCCTTGTCGTCAAGCACTAGGTTAGGTATAAAAGGAACCATTAAGCAATACATATCCGTACTTTGTCTTTGGCAATGTCTGCCTGGGTATGGAGTACTGGTCCAACCCACCCCGTTGGGCCAAACTTCCTTTTGATCGGATGGGATTCCAGACCCTGGAGCACACTCTCTCGCCTAATAGCACCAGCACCGGCTAGTTGCGTTTTGGAGAGAACATAGTGGCATAATCAGACTAAGAGACTAGTGAGCCGCGGACTGCAGATCTTAAACGGGGATGAGCAGTGTGGTTTTTGCTATGATTCTGAATGAGACTTCAGACTAGGGGACCCCGGTGGGCTCCCGATTTGTGTGACTATCCGGGATCTACGAGGGTAATCCGTACTTACAACATGTTGCTCAATCGGAGGTCTATCCAAATCCAGGAGGTGTTGATGTGTAAAGGGGTTTCTTTGTACAAGATAGTTTAAAGTGGAGAATATCAATATGAACAGGGAGTCCCTCCTGTAGTGTATATACCCAAGGGGCCCCTTGGGCACATTTTCCAATAGTCAAGAAATGTGTTTTATAGGTCTTTTTTTTAATATAGTATCTTTAGTCGGGGCAAAGACAGTTACAGGATAAAAAAGGCCCTGACTGTACGAATTCAAAGGGGCCTTTTCACAAGCTTACATTGTACATAGAGTGATAATTGATCAAACCTTCCAAAGCGTCATTGTTGACATCTCGGTACCGAGACCCAGTGTTCACCCGAGTCTCTGGTAGCTGGTAGCTCGCAATATCCCCATTACGGGGTACTCCGTACATTAAAGGCGATGATGAAATGATCATCATGAGAGGCCCCCAATGATCCGGCTAAATTACCCCCTGAGACCAGTTAACGTACTTTGTTTAGAGTACAACATATATAATATCGGAAGCAAACAAAGGCGTTGCCGATCATCGCAACTGGGCTTGATGGATCGACATACGCCGCAAGCTGAAAGATGGTCAGGTGATGCCTAGTTTGGGAATGTCCCGAAATTGGCGGACATGTGGATCAGTGTCATGTGTATTTCGTTTCGCTTAGATCGAACATGAGAGAGAGTCCGGATATGCACATGTTTGTTATTTGATCCTTAATTTGATGTATCCTAGGTATCAAATTAAGTAGATGTACTTGATCTTTCCGGGGTGCAAGCCCTGAAGGTTGAAAGTACATTAGACCTGTCATCAGGCAAACACAAAACGCGTCAGGCAGGTTGTCCGCCTCAGGCATCCAGGGCATGGAAGACGGCCCGTCTAAAGAGTCAACCGCGGTCTAACAGTCAAGTTACCATGGAAGATAGATGCTGAACCATGGATAAAATCTATAATTACCGCTGTCTATTGAGCTATGATCGCTTTGAAGCCTTGGAGAGTATCACGGCTTTCTACCTATATCGTACATCAAATTCGGGTTCTCATTCCGTGTGACTGCTCCAACGGCTCTTTTTTTGAGTGGACCTAAAGCAACGGTTACAGTTTCATCACCGGGGATATGAAAACATAACATTGTACGCAGGTATTGCGTACACCGTATGTAGTGTTACTACAACAGTTGTAACTTTGTATGTATGGGGGCCCCACAGCTGATCGAAGCGAGCACAATCGTAATCGGATCTAAGAATTATTATGTTGTAGAGGGTTGTTTCTTGAAATAGACAGCATAGGAGGATGGCTCTCATAGAATATAATAATAGATAGTTGGATGTATGTTATAGGTTATTTTTGAATTTCTCTGGGGGCGAACACAAAAGTACGTGGCCACACCTGAGCTGAGCCACAATCTGGAAAAATCTGCATGTATGGAACATTGTAGACACAAGCTGAGTGCGATCATAACTGAGGCGGATCTCCGAGAAGTTTGTCTTGTAATCCGTACATGGAGCAGTCCTACGGAATATACATTTAATATTCTGCGTAAAAAGCACCACGGTGCGCTAATTAATCTGACAGGGCCGAAAAATTTGTTAGGAGTAACGGCTCCCCCAGGTCCCCCGGTCACGATGTTAGTGTTCCGCGCTCCCTGGAGCCTTGAATGCAAGACAGCTCTAGCCCACCTTAAGCCGGAAAGGCACGGGGATGATAATCCAATCATAAATGCAAGCTAGGGTCTTTGGCTTAGAACCTACCTGAAGAGGAAAGGTGTTCAACGTATGCTAGTGGGGTCCAAATAGCACCAACGGCTGTCTCTGAAGCGTTCCAAACCAATTAGAATTTACGCGAATCGGGGCTAATGACATCTTCCAGCGGGTCGGTGCAGGTGGAGTAGCCTTAAAAACCAGAATCCATGGATCTGGACTCAGATAGAGAGGGGATTGACCTAATTAAATTAATTAAATTATTGATTTTATTGATTTAAACAATTAAAAAACCAATTTAAACCCAATTTAAATTCGAAATTTAGTTTCGCGGATTTTTGCGTTCGAGTCAAGTCTCCACCTAGTAGGCTGGTCCAGCCATGGCAACATCTCGCGCACTTTTGTATGGGCCTTTTCCCCTCCATGAATTTCAAACCCTTCCTTTCTCTCAACCTCCCTCTACATTCGCTTGGTCTCATATCCTCCACTTTGGCCCTTCATTCGTTTCACGTTCTTTACTCGATCCTTGAAGGGGGTTTAAGACGTGTCTCACGTTTCAGCGCTCGGAAACTAGCCATTGCAGCCGGGTTTTGCATTTTTTGCATACATCAGATCTGGCGTGCAGGGAGATCCGAAAGATCCTGAATCGTGATTGGTTTCGCTTCTCAAGGGATATCCTAGAGGAAAAAAGTACTCACCAGCCGCGAAAGCTTTTTTTCTTTATTGGTCTCCTTGGGTGACTCAAGTCCAAACACTCCAGGGCTGATCCGACCAACCGGGTCTCTCCATCAACCTTCATTCCTATTTGGGTCTATCAGGTCTCCTCCTTGACAGGCTCTGAGCTATCCCAGCCGCCACCACTAATCCGGTTCTTCGGGTCGACCATAACTACTGCTCTTTGGCCACTGGACTTGCATTTTTTTTCTCTCTCATCACGACTATCTTTACAACTTATCCTTAACACACTCTTGTGCGACATCAGTCACGACACTCCAGTTCTTCAAATATCCATAGAATGTCTCAATACCCCCGTTATGAGACATTAGATGCACCCGATGGGTCAGCATTGACGTGGATCTTTGATCATTGCTTGCGTTACGCCGACCACTACGAGATTTCCCTTCGGGCTGCGTACGAACTCAATTGCCAACCATCGAAGAGCGCAATGGGGGCTTCATTTCTTCCTGAATCATCCTCCATCTTCTCCCGCAATTCTGTTTGGTCTAAACACTCACGCAACTCCAAGTCTTCGCTTGATGGCCCTTCTTATGACACCAATGCCGAATTCCGTGCCTATTTGACCAAGGCTGTCTCTGAATTGCCTACTCAACCTTGCTCGCTCCCTCCGAGCTTTATTCTCTCCTTTGTGCGCCGCTGTTTTTGTCTGGATCTGGCCGATGTCGACTTTGCCCAAGCTTTGACTGCTCTTGATTACCTTAGAGTTCTCCAAGGTCGCTGGAAAAAGGAGATTTATGCCGCCTTTATCCGACTAAATGTTACTTCCAAGGATGCGAGTGACCCTCAGCACTCGGAAGTGGCCCGCAAATACCCTAATGTCTTGAACTGGTACAACGACATCAGCCGCAAGGCACACCTGATTGAGTGTATGTACACTCAGGTCTATGTCGGCCTGCGTCGCTGGGTAAGTTTTATTCCGAGCTTAAAACAGCGAGTTCCAAATTAACATTTATTTCTCAGGTTCTTGTCAATCAGATGATGCTTGAGCCATTCGACAAGGCCAACTGCCTTGCTCTTCTCAATACTCTACTGCCGCCTGTTCACCGAGAGAGCTCTACCCCAACACAGCAGTTGTCGACAGCCACTCTTGGACATCATCGTGACACCTTCTTCAAATACATTACCAACTACAAGGGTGATCCTGCAATGCTGGAACCTATTATTAAACAAGGCGCTCGATCCAATGAGGAGAACGGGTGGCCTGCATTGCATGAAACCTTTGACCGATACCTGATCGCAGCCCTCGAAATGATTGACGAGTGTGTTTTAATCAATGAGCCTAGTCAGATTGGCAAGTCCGGGGTGCAGCGCCGGACCGACTCGGGTATCAGCTTCGGTCCTGATTTTGGTCCTTGTCCTGCTACCTCCCAATCATCGGGCACTGAAAAGCCTCTTCCCCATTTCCCTGAACCGAACACAGGCACTAGCAAGCATGGCTCGTTCCTGGACCGATTTTCCTCTTTGTCGGGATGGGGCAAGAAGAAAGACCCCAAGAAGGAGCAGGAGAGGGAGCAGCAGAGGGAGTTTGCGCGCAGTCTGAAGAAGATGCAGTCGAACAGATCATTCAACAGTCGGGGTAGCAGCACCAAGGCGCCAGCCAAGTTCAACGCAAACATATCTTTCGAATTGACTGATGATAAGCGCCAGCGTTTGATTGATGAAGCCCAAGCTCGCAAGGCAATCGGCGCGGCCGAGGCGGCTCAAAGCATTGGTCAGGCCGTTTAATCACTAATCGCTGCAACTTCTACAAAAGCAAACCAACAAACAAACCAAAAAAAAAAGCCAAACGAGGGGACTGAAAAGCCTCCTCACATTTCCCTTGTTTTCTTTACATCCGACTCGGTCATCCCTTACTCTTCTCTCATTCTCGCTGCAGCCGTCCCCCTGCGAGCGCAAAATCCAGAGGGAGCACTCGCTTCCAACTTTGATAATGCCGGGCATCTGTTGCGCAGATCCAGACGGGCTGCATTTATGTGACATACCTTTGTTGTTTCGGAACCTAAAAAATGGCGTTCGAGAGGAAGCATATGGGGGTGCTCAATTTACGACTTAATGTCTTTACGATAGCGTCCAGCTTACTGGATTTGAACACAAAATTATTATTATCTTTATTATTATTATTTGCGTTTCTCGCTCAGTAGATATAAACATACACCTAGGATCTCACAACTGTATTAGCCAATGCAATACAAGGTTACGGGGTTAAGCAACAATCTATATCTCGGAGACTGCGCCAGTTGCCGCTCAGTCCGCCGTAGAAGCTGCGATAAGATAGCGAAACCCTCCAAGTGTCCAGATCAGACCAGCCGATTCATCCTCGGTCTTACTACCATCTTTGTTGAGGGCTTTGGCTCATTTGGCCCGTGATGCTTGCAAATGGATTGACTTGCATGTTTGTTAATTAGGAAGCCCACATCGCATTACATAGGACTCGCCCGACACGAGGCTGTCCCCTATACAGTACAACAAATAAACAAAACTGCCCTCCCACACTGCATTGCGCGATAATGAGGGTCTCTACGGGATCTCACATTTCCTGGCGGTGGTACGCCGCCGCCGGAGCTCTGCTACCAGGCTGGATTGCCAGTGCTAGCCCAGCTGTGAACGTGGCGCTCCAAGCCTCTTTTGACTCGGCCCCATACCTCGTCGAGCTCCTGTACGTTGCACATTGAATGATTTCTTGCCTGGTATAGATCCGTCAATACAAGAATGGGCTAATGAGTTTAATGCAGGGAGTCTGCCGCCGAAGAAAACTCCACCTCCTATTTCCCTTTGCTGGATCGCATCGCCGACGGGACGTTTGAGGACCTCACAACCGAGAAGGAGCTCTACGACCGCTTCTTGACAGTTGTGAAGAATGATGGTCACATACAGACTCCGGAGAGTCTTTCCTCATTTAAATTATCGCTTTCGGTCCGATCGTCGGCGCCTCGTATTGAGGCACACTTCCAGTTTTACAACACCTCGGTTCAGCAGTCGTTGATGGTAGCCCAAGATGCGGTATGCCCCGTATGGGTCCACACAGAAGGAAAGCAGTATTGCTCTTCTGCAATGGAACGCGCACAACAGGATGTCGAGGGAGAATTGTGAGTAGATCTTTGACTGGGGTATGGACTCTAATAGCTGACTTGAATTGGTGCAGGGATCCCAGAGAGCTACCATTTGATCGCGTCCTGGGTGATAGATCACTCCCTCCAGCTGTTCTCTACGCAGACGTCGCCTCTCCAATGTTCAGGGATTTTCATGAAACCCTGAGCGAAATGGCAAAACAGGGACAGATATCGTACCGTGTACGCTATCGACCTCCCCAGCACTGGGTTTCACGTCCCTTGTTTGTTTCTGGGTACGGCGTGGAGCTTGCTTTGAAGCGAACGGACTACATTGTTATCGATGACCGTGATGCGGAGCAGATCGAAGAAAAGGGCGCCAAAAGTCTTCCAACTGACCCGGATGAGACCAAGGAAGATGCTCCAGATGACCTCCAGCCTTTGGCTTCATCTGAGGTAACCCGGCTAGGCTTGAACTCTGCGAGCTATGTTATGGACAGCGCTGATCCTTTGGGAACATTGATCAAGATGTCCCAAAATTTCCCCAAGTATTCATCGAAAGTAGCTGCCCACAATTACACCGGGGAAATGGTGCAAGAGATCCGCCACAACCGGTTAAAGATGTTCCCTGGTGGTTACAATGCTATGTGGATCAACGGTGTGCAAATGGACACCCAGCAGATTGACGCATTCTCACTTCTAGAACATCTGCGCCGAGAGCGGAAATTGATCGAGAAATTTCGCGGCCTGGGTCTATCTGCGGATGATGTTGTGAAGTTGCTGTCACACAAACTCCTCACTGAAGCCCAAGCTGGTGGCGAGGAGCAACGGTATGACTACCGGGATGATCTAGAAGGAAACGAGGTTATAATTTGGATGAACAATCTGGAGAAGGACTCTAGATACGAGGCCTGGCCTGGTGATCTCGATGCGGTTCGTACTTATTTTCTATGGATATTGGAGTAAGTCCATACTAACATAATTATAGTATGTCGCCGGTTCTTACCCGGGACAGCTGCCCCCGGTGAGCCGAGATCTGCACAATGTCGTCGTGTCTATGGACTTGTCTAACCCAGAGTACATGATGCTTGTTGCCGGAAACCTGCAATCCTTCGTCATGCGAGGAATTCCCGTGAGATTCGGCTTCGTAGCTACAGCCTCGTCACCAGAGTCCACTGCGCAGATGAAGGTAGCACATTACCTTTTCGATGCCTATGGCATGGGGTCTCTTGTGCAATATTTGGAAGAGTCTGCCTCCAAAGGCAAAATGGGCTTCCCAGACAAATCGTGCTTCCAGTCTGCGACCAAAGAACACAACCTCGTTGACGAACACGAAGTTCTGTCTCTTGATCAAGTATTGAAAAGCGAGAAGTATAATGCTCTGGTGTCTCAAACGGCTGCGTATCAACGTCGGTTGAGTCTTACCAGCGACGGACCTCAATTCCTGGTGAACGGTATCCCTATCCCCCGAGAAGGCAACTGGATGCAGGGAATGAGCATGCAGATCGGCAGGGATTTGAAACTAGTCCAGCAAGCCATTGTGGAGGGAATTTTCGAGGAGGACGCATGGCTTCCGGAGTTCTTCTTGGCTGGCGCATTGGAGAGACGCAATACTTTCCTCATGCCCGAAGATCCCAAGAGTGTACAGATTGTGGACATCGCTACGATCCTTGCATCGGATGAAAATGTATTGAGCAAGATACCTCACGTTCTCTCGGACAAGGGAGCACTGGAGAGCGCCCATATGATAGTTGTGGGCGATTTCGAGTCAGAGGCGGGTATGAAACTACTTACCGATGCCCTTAATCTCCGGAAGGAGAACGGTGAACTGGAAATTCTGATGCTGCACAATGCGGCATCGGACACCGAGGATGATGTCTCCAGAAATCTCGCTACTCTCTATCTCTCACTTGCGAAGGGGGAAACTATCGACCAAGTACTGACTAAGATTGCAGCTGGTGATCTTGATAGTGAAGTCCTAGAGACTGAAGCTCAAAAGATCTCTACCATTCAAGCTTTGCACCAAACTCTGGTCAAAGAACTTGGGTTCAGCCCTGGCACCGAGGGTCTCGTTGTCAATGGGAGGGTAGCCGGCCCTATTGAGAAGGAACACTCGTTGAGTCTGAAAGAGATGAGCCAATTGATTGCCTACGAACGGATGAAACGCCTCGATTCCGTTGCGGCGGCTGTTGACCAACTCGAATTCGCTGATAAGATCTCAAACCCGCTCGATTTTGCCAAATTGACCTCGCTTGTGGCTCTTTCCACCATCTCGGATGTCCCTGATGGTATCTTCGAAAACACTCCCGATTTCAGAGTGGACATGTCTAGTACATGGAGGACGGAGCTCTCTGTGATCACGATGTCTAACTCCGATGATCCCACGATCCATGTTGCTGTTAGCCTTGACCCGGCGTCTGAGGTTGCTCAGCGATGGTCGCCGATTCTCAAGGTTCTCTCTGAACTATCCGGCGTTCAGCTGAAGATTTTCTTGAACCCGAAGGAAGAGCTCACGGAGCTGCCGGTCAAGCGGTTCTACCGCTATGTCTTGGAATCAGAGCCATCTTTCACGGACGAGGGCGCTCTGGATCGGCCGCAAGCGTCATTCACTGGCGTGCCAGTCGAAGCACTGCTGACCCTGGGCATGGACGTGCCGTCATCTTGGCTCGTAGCACCTAGTGAATCAGTCTATGACCTGGATAACATTAAGTTGAGCTCGGTCAAGCCTGGAACTGACGTTGACGCCATCTACGCCCTCGAGCACATCTTGATCGAGGGCCACTCTCGTGATCTTACAACGAAGTCTGCCCCCAGAGGTGTCCAGCTCATCTTGGGCACCGAGAACAACCATTATTTCGCAGATACCATTATCATGGCTAACCTGGGATACTTCCAATTCAAGGCACAGCCAGGCTTGTGGCAGATCAACCTGAAGCCCGGCCGCAGTGAGAGGATCTTCAAGATCGATAGCGTCGGTGGTCTAGGATACCGCCCGCAGACCGGTGACGAGAACAACGAGGTTGCTCTGCTGTCCTTCCATGGTCGGACGTTGTTCCCTCGCCTGTCCCGAAAGCCAGGCCACGAGGAGGAGGATGTTCTCGAGACAGGAGTACAACCAGGCTCAAAGATGGATTATTTTACCAAGGGACTCAACTTTGCATCTGGCGTCCTCTCCAGCGTTGGTGTCGGGTCCAATAGCGGAGGCGAAAAGCACGCCGATATCAACATCTTCTCGGTGGCAAGCGGACACCTCTACGAGCGTATGTTGAATATAATGATGGTCTCCGTGATGCGACACACCAAACACACCGTCAAATTCTGGTTCATCGAGCAATTCCTCTCCCCCTCCTTCCGCGCCTTCCTCCCTTCCCTCGCCCGCGAATACGGCTTCTCCTACGAGATGGTAACATACAAATGGCCGCACTGGCTGCGCGCCCAGAAAGAAAAGCAACGCGAGATCTGGGGGTACAAGATGCTCTTCCTGGACGTGCTCTTCCCCCTTTCCCTAGACAAAGTAATCTTCGTCGACGCAGACCAGATCGTGCGCACAGACATGTACGAGCTAGTCACCCACGACCTCCAAGAAGCGCCCTACGGCTTCACGCCGATGGGAGACTCTCGAACCGAAATGGAAGGCTTCCGCTTCTGGAAACAGGGCTACTGGTCCACCTTCCTCCG